TACCAGTCATATTAGATCAGGGCCCACCCTTATGACCTTACCTTAACTTCACTATCTGTGTAAAGACCCTATCTCAAAATAAGGACACATTCTGAGGATTAGGATCGCAACATACAGATTTTGTGGGGACACAAAGAAGTTGGTCATTTCCAAAAAATGGGAGGGAGGATAACAGCTCTAGGAAGAGGCCAGTTTGTGCACAGGTCCTAAGGTCAGAAAAAGATTACACCTGTGGCTAGAGCTCAGCAGGCCATGGAACTGATAGGAAAGACCAAATCACATCCAGCCCTGTAGTCCGGGGGATGGAGATTTGAGATCTTATTCTAAGCACAATGGAAAGCAACTGGAGGGTTTTATGGAGGGGAGATGATCTCACCACTTTAACTGTGGGTGGAGAATAAGCTGTAGGCAACAAGAGTGGCAGTGGGAAGATCAGCTAGGAAGCAAGTGCGGCAGTCTAGGCGAGAGCCGAAGATGCTCCAGACCAGAGGGTGGTAAGGGACAGAGAAAGCAGTGGACGTGCCAGATGTGAATTCGAGTGGGTTTGGCAGGACTTGTTGGAGAACTGGATGAGGACGGTGAAGGTGAAAAGGGCAGCAAAGGTAACTTCCAGGTTCTGAATTACAGAACTGGATAAATCGCAAAAGCTGGGTAAAACTAGGGAGGGTTGAGTTCAGGTTTTGCTCGGGGGGGGGGGGGGGGGTGTCAAGCGACCCATTTTGGACATGTTATATTTGAGATACGTATGAGGTATCCAAACGAGGAGATCACTAGGAGCTGAATACGTACAGATCTAGTGCTCTAAGAAGAGACACAGACCAGAGAAAAATCAAATTGGGAATCACAATGACAGATGTCATTTAGAACCTTGGGAAAGAGTGAGACTAACTAGGAAGAGAGAGGAGAGTTATGAAGAAAGTCTAGAAATATTTAGAAATGGATATTTCTTCATCTCAACCATCCACCAAAGCCAAAGTATAAACCATCATGCTTATAAATAATGCAGTGACAGTATTGCTGGAGTTGGTGAGATAATACGTCTGGCTGCTGCCTTCTACCCAATCTTAGATAACATGAGAGAGATTCATCATTGACATCAGAAGACGTTTCAGCAAGTGCTGGGTCACAGTCTATTTATGTTGCAATTTCTGATGGTTGTTGGAAGTGCTGACAGAACAGGCAATAGAGTTAAGATTCTCTTTCAAAAATTGTGAAATTGACTCATATACTTGCCCAGATAGGCTATCATATTTTTTTTTAAAAAAGATTGGCACCTGAGCTAATGACCATTCCAAATCTTTCTTTTTTAATTCTTCTCCCCAAAGCCCCCAGTACATAGTTGTATATTCCAGCTGTAGGTCCTTCTGGTTGTGTGATGTGGGATGCTGCCTCAGCATGGCCTGATGAGTGGTGCCATGTCTATGCCCCAGATCCAAACCAGTGAGACCTGGGCCACTGAAGTGGAGCACGCGAACTTAACCATGGGGTCAGCCCTCATCTATTTCTTAAAAGAGGTGGGTCACAAAGTGGCCTGTAGAGAAAACCAAGGGTTTGTTTTTGTTTTTTGCTGAGGAAGATTTGCCCTGAACTAACATCTGTGCCAATCTTCCTCTATTTTTAGTATGTGGGTCACCAGCAAAGCATGGCTGCTAACAGAGCGGTGTAGGTCCCCACCTGGGAATCAAACCAGGGCTTCTGAAGCAGAGTGCACTGAACTTAACTGCTAGGCCACTGGGGCTGGCCCCCAAATAATTTTTAAAAGGAGATTTGAACTACGGGAACACTGGAACATTTAATCAAAGAAAATCCCAGAGGTTTAAGACTCTTTCTTTAAGCATGAAAAAGATCATTTTGGCCCAAAACATTTATGGGATGTTGTTGCCAACTGGACTGTTTCCACCACAGAACCGTAGTGTGGCTTTTGCATAATGTAATTCTGAATAAGATTATATCACGATATGCCCATGATGGCTACAGACGGCAACTTTCTTCCCCTCTTTGTACTCTTCTCCCAAGTCACTTAATGGTGTTAATTTATTCTTCTAGCTTAAATATAGATATTTACACACTGTAGAATATCTGTAAAATGAAGGAATTCAGAGTACGGTTTCTTACTTTAAATCTTTCATACCAAGTTTTAGGAGTAACTGTATGATTGACTCCTGGTAGACTTCATTTTCTTTCCATTGAAAAATGGTCACATACAACATCCGGTTTCTTGCAGTTTGCCAGTCTCTCATCATCCTTGATCACACAAAACTTGTTGATGGAGTTCAATGCCCTCGGGGGTAAATAACTTTTTAATTGTTCTTGGTAGTAAATTATTCTGATAGAAATTGGCCAGTAGGTTTAATTGCTTATGGCTTTTCTCAAAAAAAGCTTTCATACTCAGGAGTTGCAATGATTTGATAAAAGCCTTATTTAATATTACTTCAAGGAAAAAGGGCTCCAGGTGACCAGGGAGATATAGCAGGACACTTACTGAAGGCTGAAAGAACCCACACTGGCTGCCGTCGCTGGGCGTTCCAGCTCTAGAGGCATGTGAAAAGCACACTGCTGAGGCGAGGAGGCCCAGCACCTGCAGCTGTGAGACATCACTGAAGGGGACAAGTTACCTGTCCAGGCATATCTAGAAATACATGTCCCTATGGCTCTCCTCGCAGCAAGTGCGTCGTGGGGAACAGGGTTCCTAGTCTACACTGCATATTAGCCTATGTTGAGCCCAAAGCACTGCACCGGAATTTGCTATAACTCATTCATATCTTAGGATAAGTTGCCTCTGAAGAGATTTGAACTTAATAGCCTTTTTTCTGTAACTGACTTTACTTGAAGTCACATCTTGATGCCTTCGATACTTTCATTTTTATCCTTCCTGAACTTTTTTTTTGAGCAAGATTAGCCCTGAGCTAACATCTGCTGCCAATCCTCCTGTTTTTGCTGAGGAAGACTGGCCCTGAGCTATCATCCGTGCCCATCTTCCTCTATTTTATGTGGGATGCCTACCACAGCATGTCTTGCCAAGCAGTGCCATGTCCACACCCGGGATCCAAACCGGCGAACCCTGGGCCGCCGAAGCAGAATGTGCGAACTTAACCGCTGCGCCACGGGGCCAGCCCCTGAACACTTTTATTGACCAGCAGTTTCTCTAGCACATCTCAACACAGGAGACTCAAGTCTAGTTTTAACCTGGAATGAAGAGCTCAAGACAGTCTCAACTGGAAGCTGAGCGCTAGTCGGCCCTTATAGGGTAAAGTTGAAGATGCTGTGGGATAAAACGGAGGGGTTTTAAAGCAAAGCTCTCGGCCATGTAGGAGTCGTCACCTTGGATAATTTCCTGTCTAACCCCTTTTCTCATGCTTTAAGTGATTGGTAATGTTTGTAGAACTGTGAAGATTAAAATCCAATTCTGTAATTCTCCCTTTCACATTGTAACTTTCTTATTCCTCTACTTTCAATGTTCTGATTAAGAATGTTGATACACAGAGAGGGTCAGACCACACATTGCCCACAGGCTTTCCAACTCAACACTCAACAGAGGGAATTCAGATGGTGTTGAGATAAGGAAGAGAGGCGTTTTAGAAAGACACACGTGCAGGTGGAAAGGCATGAGATGAGCATGTAAAATGGAGATACTGGGGCTCCAGGTTTGGAAAGAAGACCAAAGGCTGCCCACAGAAAGCCTTGTAGCGCTGGTGCATGCTTTCCTTAACCAGCGTGGAGGCAGGAAGTCCAAAACTCTACTGAATGGCTTGGCCATCAAAATTATTGACAGGGAGGAACTTGAAATCAGGAAGATGCATAATGGCTTGAGTATATGGAGTCATTCACAGCAACAGCCAAGCGCAGAGGAGGCGGCAGGAGTGAGAGAAAGCAGGAGGAGGCGCCTGTGATTAGAGGATGGACCCATATGAACTCCACAGGAGAATTAATGGGTCATCAGTCTGTTAGAGGTTAAGCAGTCTGCAAATAGCCAAGTTCAAAGATGAGAGCACACAACTGGTGAGCAAGAGGATCTTGTGAACGGGCAAGTTTATTAGTGGAGAGGTCTGGAGAAAACGTCAACAGTGAAGAACAAAGTTTCCGGTGAGCAACAAAGCTGTGGGGTCTCTGGAAAGATACCGGTATCCATGTACTAACTTGGCAGAGGGACAGAGTGCTTGGGAGATATGGTTAAACTTCGTTATCAATTAGTACCTGTCAGAATGTGATGGAATGTTGGTATTTTTGCACCAAAGAATTTTAAACCTTTCCCAAACAGCTTCCTGTAGCAAAGGTTTCATGAGGTTTTCAACCAGCTTATAGACCTCAGCAAGGTCAGGATGAACGACAGAGTCGCAAAGGACTAAGGAATTCTAGGTAGGTGTAGATTTCCAGGAGAGGTGTTCACCTGTGTTAGTGAAGATGGCTAACCCAATAAAGAGGTCATCCACTAAGCCCACTGCAAGCCAGCTGCACCGTGATTTTCACGAGGCTGAACTAGGTACTAGATTCTTCTGATGAACTATGATGTACTAAGCGGGGTAGAGATGCAAACTGGAGCCCTTACTCAGGACTGGGCAGCATCTGGGACACAAGTCCCTTAGAGCACGCGTGTCTCTGTGTGCAGGGGTGGCATCGAGTCAGCATCAGGTGAGGGCATCTGCCGGGCTCTTGTTAAGGTAGTCCTGTGTTTTGGTGGAAAGCCAATCATCTCCCCCAATTCAGATGATCACAAACTGACTGCTAAATGACAGGCATTTAAAGACCTTCCAATTTTGGAGGTCATCATTTCCAAACTATGTGGGCAGTTACGCAGACACAAATAAGGCTGTTACTAGCACAAGTAAAGTTGCCATTAAAATGTCTCAGTACAAACAGTGGTCGGGAAGAGACAGAAGCAAAGGGGTAGATAGTTTCTGAATCCTGCTCAACATGTTATAACAAATGCACAACTTGCCATGCTCCTTCTGTCTGAAATGAAGTGACAGTATTACCACCAATGCTAGTGTAAACAAACGAAATTAAGTTAACTCAATAAATATCTTTTATTAAAGAAAAAAAGGAATATCGTTAAGCACCAAAACTGTATGTTGTTACATTGCATGTACAAGAAGAGAAAGGTGATTGCAACACTTGGTGAACAAGTACTTAACTCTGAAGTCATGAGTGTAAAACATGAAATACAAAGCAAGACAAATTACAATGCAGAAAAGCTGCACTAAAGGGCAAAAGGCAACCGTCAAAACAATTGGAGATTTCAGAGTATTGCTATAAATGCCTGCCTAGTTTTTTCTTTGCACTTTTAATACTTTAGAATGTTAACTGAGCATATTAAGTATTGTAAATTTGCAAGAGTTGGCATTTACAATACACTGTGCACACTGTCCAACTGACGTCTCGGTGGTAAAGCCATCCTCACCAGCCAAGCAGTGTGCCAGTTAGTGTCTGCTTCTACCATTATAACATTGCACAAAGCTGGTAAATGGTGAGTCAGTTTGCCATTAAAAGTTTCATTTAACCAGAAAGGCTAAAAAACATGTCAGTTTCATTAGCCCTAATGGGCTTTATTATTCATGCAAAATGATCTGTAGCCTTCGATTTTTCATAAACTATATATTACGGTCTCACACTTGGCAAGACATACAGTACAATGAGAAATTCAATGAGACAGTGGGGATTCTGTCCAAGTTGAAGAAGTCAGAAGCCACCTATGGGCTGTATTGTCTACCCCTCTTGGTTCACAAATGAAGGGAAAAAGCCATCTTGTGATTATGGAGACTTCTTAAAACCAACATAATTAGTACTTGGAAAAGCTAGAATAACTTGTTACACTCTTTGATAGTTAACCATAGAACATGCAAGTTAAAAAAAAAAACAAAAACCAAAACTTCCCTTGTTAAAATTGAACTCTAAACCAACACCCATACCTTTTGTATACACCTCAAGATCCCTTTCCAGGGTCTTTCCTTTCCGTCCTTAACTCCCCAAATTGCGCCACACTTAGTTATACCTGACTTGAAAAGAAACAAACTTCCCCCTAACCCTCAAAACAAATAGCTGCTTTGAGATTCAGTGTGAAATAACATTAATAAAATATTTAATATGTCAACCTCAGAGGTATTTTCTGTACATGCACCTTACAGCGGCATAATTATCATGTTTGCAGAAGGGGAGAAACATTTATAAATTTGGAATTCAATCAACTAAATTCCTCAAAATACCAAGCTGTACATTTACCATGGGCAGAACAGAAAATTTTAGAATGAACACGTCTTCGAAATAATGGGCAAACATTTCACACACACACACACACACACACACACACGCAATCCAGACTCCCTCTCACCTTTAAAAAACCTCTGTTTACATATATGATAGTTTAGGCAGCAATATAAACTCATTTTGTAGGAAAAACTTTTAAATTAGACTATATTTACAGGATAAAAAATACCATTGCTTCATTTTACAAAGCTTAACTGAGCAGAGGCTCTTCCTCATGTGCTTTAACTACAGAGCGCTCTGCGGGAGAGTTCAGGGATAGCTACTGAAGGCTCAGGAGCCGGAAGAAACGCAACGTGCTCCAAAAGTAAGGTGCTTCAACTGGCTTACCTCTCTGCCATCTGAGATAAATCTTGTCCGTCAATCCTCTAGCACTAAGCACAGCTCTTCCATGCTAAGCAATAAATGGGAATAAAGTCTGTTTAAAATGCACGTTTAACTTTATATTATCATTTAAATTCAGTGCAGGAATTAGATAAAACTTGTTAAGTTTTCTGCTTTCACTATCAAATGGCTGCATGTTAACAATGCATCTGCCATGGTTTTTAAATGTTTTACAGCTGTTCAAAAAGATTCTTTACAAATAACCCGGTAATATATATGAAATTTCAACTCCCTGATAAGGCCTTTAAGGACCCATTAGTACTTTACAGGTTGGTATCTGATGTTGAGTGCATAACAATTAAATTATAGGGCAAAAAAACCCCTTGTATTTAGTGAAAGAAAAAAACTGCACCTAGGCTAAAAGCAGTGACTTAAATTCATACACATACTCAATGAATGTAGTTAAAAACTGGAGTCTAAGGCAATGTATAAAATTAAATTGTATACTGGTCCCATTCCAAACAGAGAGGATGCTGCCCATTAATTTTTGCTCCACTGATATAGTAAGAGTTTTAATTCTTTAGTATCTGCTATGGCCAAAGTATGCTTTACAGGTGAACACATTTTATGACATCAAGTGGTCAGGCCATATGTTACCATGTATTGCTACACCCTGCAGCTTTGTAGAAACAAGGATTTTCCCCTCATTATACAGAGTACATGACAGTGCTGAGAATTTTCTACGGTTTCATGTCATGAGAAAATCCCCACATTCCCACTGTGGAAATACTACAGCTGATCGACTGTTACAGCTGTGCCTTGGAGCCTGTTTAGAAATGCATTTTATAGAAATGTGCCAGTTCCACAATGAAGAATTAAGGAATGATTGTTTTTATGCTGCTCACCAACTCCATAAGCTGATAAAATATCCACCGAGTAAGCAAGGTGAGTGCTCATCTGTGGAAATCCTCGAGCCAGGCCTTTCCTCACTGCACCCTCCAGTGCCATGGGGAGTGTACGTCACTAACCACACCTTTTCTAAACAGGCCACACTGGTTATATATACATAATGTTGGTCGCATTAGTAGGGGAAATACTGAAAATTGACATTCAAGTGAGCAGTAACATTAACCTCAAAACATCCCCAAGTCATCATCTACTTGTTTCCCGATTTTCAATATATTGCTGTTGAGACTAGACTGGTCAATTCACCTCTGAATTGACTCAACATCAGCAAGCAGCTGTTTGTGGATCTTAACACAGAAATGATACAATAACAGAAATAAAACTGTCAAATATTTTAAACCATATAAATAGTACAGGCAAGACTGGAACTGGAAACATGATCATCTGGAAGTACCATGATAAGTAAATATATACAAATTTAATACTAAGGCCAAATACTAAGACCAAAGATGCTCATTTTCTTAGGGACAAGAAAAAAAAAAATTAGCCATGTTTACATATAATTTTTGGTTCTGAAACTGCTTTAAAATTAACAAGAGGATTCAATTGGTAATCTCATCTTGACGGACAAGTGGACCATAGTTATTTGAAATTTTAATATTATTTGTGAGAACTGCGCAGCTGATGACCTGCAGCTAAATAAAGTGTAATTTTGTGGAAGCAGGAACCTGAATCTTGAGGAAGAGAACGGGTGTGCTGGAGAATGTTATTTGCCAGAGAATGAGCACAGTGGCTGCCAACGAGGCTTTCCTTTCACCTACTCACTCTCAAGTGTGGGATAACCGCCACGGAGCGCTACAAAGGGACGTGCTGAGAGCCGTGAGTGCGCCCTACAAGGGTCTCTAGGGCTCTCAGGAAGACAGACCACAGGACCCTTGTATAAGTGAGCCTGTCTTTAACATGGAATCCCAGCTGTAAGATTAAATGGGTAGTAATTCCCTCAACACAGGAAAGTCCCCATGCCTTTGTTGTTAATTTAACACTAGATCCTCCAGTATTTTTCTAAATGTCAGTAAGTGAAAACAAAAACCAAAAACAACTTATGTAATGAACAAGCATCCAAAGGCATAAAACTAATACATGATTTTTGCTAAAAAAACTTTTTTCAGACGTATTAACAATCAAACCAATCATTCTTTGGGTTAAAAGGCATACTTCAATGCTTTACTGAAGGTGTACAGGGAAAAAAAATCTACCCCCCCACCCCCATCATGGGGTGAAGATTTCTAATCTTCCCAGACAAGATGTGGGAATAATGCTAGAATACAACCAAGGTATCGTGAAAATGGTGTGCAAAAGCTCCTAGTCTCATCTATAAACATATTACCAACATTTAAGCAGAAAGATTTTGTTTTATATAACCTATTGCCAAAAAACTTTCCCCATAATTATTTTAAAGGAAATAACATTTTAAAGTGATAAAGGTGCGACCATTTCTTTTTTTCTCCAGGAACACCGATTCATATACTTTGGAGGGCTTTTACTCTGGGACTGCTTCTGGGTCCAGGCCAGAGAACCGCCTCATAAGAAAGAAAGTTCTTTTTGGTGCTTCAGTCCTTAACTCCTTTCTCATAAAGGCCAGCATCTGTCTCAAGCAGAATTACACAAGACAGCACACTGTAAACTGAGTTCCACATATCTACCTTCATTCAAGCCTACAACAGTCCTGCTGAGAATTCATGATGTCTCCATTCATATAAAGGCATCCTTCAGGACTCCATTACAGCAAAATCAGCACCTAGAGCTACACACACGTTGAAAAACTTAGTGACAATAACAAAGGCTCTCTCCCAAAATCCCACTCACAGCATGTGGAGATAGTGAAACGCCAGGCAAGCAGGCTTTTCTGCCTGTCTGCATTCTGCATGCAGCCGTGCGCCGCATAACAAGGCTTCGGTCGACGACAGGCCGCGCACAGGACAGTGGTCCCCTAAGTTTAGCGCCACACAGCCTAGGTGGGAGTAGGCTGCACACTCTATGATGTTCACACAATGAGGAAATTGCCTAATGACACATTTCTCAGAACGCATACCTGTCGTTAAGTGCCACACAACTGCACACGGCACACTTTTTTCACTGTGGAGCATAAAAATAAAACTTAAAATGGTGCATGTTAAAAAGACTTAAGATCTGCATCCCTATTACTGAATCCTGATTTTGATTCTCAATAGGAAAGTCATGTCAAGTTACAGTAATCAAGCAATAGTTCAAACAAAAAGACTAAAGATAATTTGAAATATTATCAAATTACAAAGTATTGCTTCTCATAAACAAAGCTGCACATAAAATTCAAACTATTATAAATTCACAATTATGAAGAGCTAAGCATGGAAATTTGTACTTCGAAACCTTACAAAGTGTTAAGAGTGTGTGGTCTTCTAAAAATACGCCATGTTAAATGTATTGTGTTGTGGTAAACACAGTAATAGGTGTATCTCCATGGTTATGTATCTTTTCAGATGTTGTCAAACATCTTTATGAAAATTCCTTTGGAGATGAGTAATGTGGAAATTTTCAGAGCCTTTCCATCTGATTTTCTTTCAATTCCTGTCCTATAGCTATCATGATAAACTTCTTTTTCGGAGTGTCGCACTACTTTATAGAAGCTGATATGGAAGCAGCTCTGTATTTAAGCAGATGACTTATTCAGTGCACTGAAAGATGGGTTTCAAAGCAGTCCCGATACAGCTCACAGTAGATCTGTCAACCCAGTGTTCTTCCAACTCACAGCAACCCCGAGCTCTACTGGCCACTACAAGGATGTAAATGCGTGGACAGGAGGGGAAGGTGCTTCAAAAGCCAGGAATCTCCGGAAGGCCTTTTCTTCACTGCTGTCAGGAACATTGCACATCTAAAACTCACGGTCTATTGGAATGACTGGAAAAGCGATCACTTGCCAATTGTGCTTCCTTTTTTCACACCACTGATCCCATACACTTGGGATCTAATGAAATCCAACTGAGGAACAAAGTGCTTAAAATTTTGTTTTCCGAAAGAATAAAAACCAATCTTCAACTGTAGGTATCTTTTTCTTTCTGTTGGGTCACCTGTTTACAAACAAAACAATACAGTGTATTAGAAAAAGGTGACCTATTAAAGATAGTGTGTAGGTATGCTTCCTCACCCCCTCTGCAAGATCCAGGTCAACACTGATGGTTTTTTTCTTCTAAGTGGCCATTATACAGATGGTGTACAGCAGACATGTTTTTTAAAAAAGGATATGCTTCTACTCTTTTTTTTCTTTAAAGTTTTTTTTTTTAAAGATTTTATTTTTTCCCTTTTTCTCCCCAAAGCCCCCCGGTACACAGTTGTATATTCTTTGCTGTGGGTCCTTCTAGTTGTGGCATGTGGGACGCTGCCTCAGCGTGCTTTGATGAGTGGTGCCATGTCCGCGCCCAGGATTCGAACCAACGAAACACTGGCCACCTGCAGCAGAGGGCGCGAACTTAACCACTTGGCCACGGGGCCAGCCCCTGCTTCTACTCTTAAAGCAATAAAAATGAAAACAAAATAATCTGAATATGGATTTTGAACACTGTTTAAAAAGTTGTATATTAGATTCACTTTGACTTTCATTCTTTTTTGCTCTAACATGTATGTCAAAACTATATACTAAAAAGGAAAATACAAACTAAAATATTTGCCTCATAAACTCCCAGTATGCTAAGTACTATTAAAGAGTATCTCTAAAATTCACTAGAGTCAGTGTTTGTTACAGTGACATTTAGAGGTCAGGATTAGTACTAGTCTTTAAACGAACACTTTACCAGGACTTTTTAAAATTGAAAATAGCTGTGTTTGAGATCTAAGAGCTTACTCAGGGCACAGGAGCATATATATAAAAACCAATCTGCCAGACAAAAGCTGACACACACATGAATAAAGTACCGACTTATTTCATTACAGTTCTGCATTACCTAATACATGTGGCTACTGAGCACTTGAAGCGTGGCTAGTGTGGCTGAGAAACTGAATTTTTCATTTGATTTAAATTAAATGAAGCAATATAAAAATCTGTCCATTAAATACAATTTTATTGTTTTAGTAGGACATTTCACTTTAACCACTGAATACTTAGCGTACAAATTGAGATGTGCTACTAGTAAGTGTAAAACACCCACTGGATTTTAAAGATTCAGTACCAAAAAAATACATAAACTACACATTGTGAATTTTTTATACTGATATGTTGAAAGACTCTATTTTGGATATATCACGTAAAATAAAGTATTACTAAAATCAATTTCACCTGTTCCTTTTAACCGTTTTTAGTGTGACTTTTGGAACTTTTACAATTACACCTGTGACTCACAATGTATCTCTAGTGTATGGCGTCATTATAGTTACTTCCAAGTTTAAGAAGGACCCCAGAGGAAATAAATTAGAAACTCAAGAAAAAGATATATAATTACTTGTATTTCCTTATGTTTAGAAATCCCCTTCAAGGATATTATTACCTATGACTATCTCTGAGAAGAGTTTTTAGAGGAAGATTAGGCAGAACAACAACCTTCACTTCTAATTTCATGACGTTTTGAGAAATTAGTTCTTCAAAAAACAAAACTTTGGGATTACATTAATGATTTAAAATCTCTAAGAAAGAAACCGATTAATAATAGGCAGTACAAATATAGCCTTTTCAGCCAATCATAGAGAAGTATCTAAAAGTTCAGAGCCTTTAAAAATGATTTCCCAAGACCACACATAAAGCAGCAACACACAGCTCCTTCTCACTGCCTGCTCAGTGGGTGGGGAACACAACTACAGCCATGTGCTTCATAACGCCTTTTGGTCAACGACAGACCCCACATATGACAGTGGGTCCGTAAGACTAGTACCCTAGAGCCCAGGTGTGTAGTAGGCTGCAGCATCTAGGTTTGTGTAAGTGCACTCTATGATGTTCACACAACAACAAAATCCCCTAACAACACATTTCTCAGAGCGTAGCCCCGTCGTTAAGCGGCGTCTAAGTACAGTCTGTGGTCTGCTTCCGGTGTAGGGTACATTCAGTCTTTTAAAAGCGACTTTGCAACATTCCAAGCTCATAAATTTTCTGGGAGTATTTCACCATTTCTCTCCACATTATACTACATACACCAGCCATAAACGATCACCCCAAAAAAGAGAAGTTTTAGGCAATTTTCAAAGTGGTATTCATCATAGACCATATTCTTAACATCTGATAGATGGCTAAACGAGCGGCCAAAAGCTATAAATAACATCCAGCCACTTCAATATACAAAATGCTGTTGCAATATCATGTGTTGGGCAGGATCTGGTGGGATGGGAGAAGACAAGCAGGGATGGGTCATGTACCCTGGCTGGGCCATTGCAAGCAGGGATAACAAAAGGACTAAACACCCAATGAAGTGAAGGCCCAGCTGTGGGATTAACCAATCAGTACTAAGATGGTAGTTTTAGGCATAGGCTTAGCAGCTCAGCAGCTCACTGAGAAGCCACAAGCAAAAGGACACAAGAAAATAGGCAGCAAGCACTGTAAAGTGGGAGACGACTCAGTGTGGAAAAGATTCCCAATCAGACACACCTGAGTCTCTAGACGCATTCACACACTGAGTAGACATACTAATATCTTTACATTCCTCTACAAAGCATAGTGTACTATGTACAAGCACAAATGGTTTAAAATTATTTTAGAATCCAAAAACACTAGGTCATACAAAGTAACTGATAATTAGTGTCTCTCTAAGTAACAGGAAAAAAGGATACCAAAAGCCCAAGACCCATGGCAGGACACTGGTGCTGTCGACTGTTGGCTGAAGCACATTAAAGGTAACACACAACCACGGATCAAGAGGAATGCGATTTTTCACTCTTTTTGTTAAGCCACTGACGGGTGCAGACACTGATGGCGGGGTGGGGTTGGGAGTGTAGTACAGGAACACTTTCCTGATGGACCAAGCCCAGAAGGAAAAGGTAAAACTGCTTTTAGAAATATTTTATTTGATATATCCAAAATAGCATCTTTCGACATATAATCAATATAAAAAATTAACGACGTAACTTGCATTTTTTTGTATTAAGTCTCCCAAATCCAGACGTGCGCCCGTGCATGCATCACGTCTATTCAGTCAGCTCCTCGGGAGCGACGGCCAGGAATCTTCATTTTTAATCAGCTCCCCCAGTAATTCTTACGATAGGCATGTTTAAGAATTACTGTGCTAGTGAATAAGTTTATTATGCCTTTACCTACTTCCTCCAGGACTAGAGTCTTCCCATTTTTGGTGAATGTTCGGAAGCCCCCAGAAACATATTCCATCAAAAAAACATAATAACTAATAGAATATATTTTGCACAAATTGTAACATTTCAGTTATGATCATTACCAATCCTGTATCCTATTTAATCTATAGAATGTGTTATCTTTACTGATTCTATATATTTAGCATAATTTGTGCCACATTACTCTACCATTAGCTTATTAAAATGTAGTGGAGTACAACTCTCTGTTACCTTAGGAAAATGCCAAATGTGTAACCAATAGCCACAGGGGTACTCAGTAAGATATGTACACAATTTTTATATATTTATTATGTCAGCTGCAATTTTATCTAGACCATGCAGTAACTATGATAAGCCTTAAAATGATAAACCTTAGTTTTAAAGGCTTAGAAAGCTAAATAATCAAACAATACAACAATTTTTTTAGACTGATCTTAAAAACTTCCTTTGCGGGCAGCTAATGAGACATCAAAATTCAATATGCATTTTAACAGTTTGTAACCAAAATAGAAAAAGCCTTTCCTTTTTTAAAAAGTAGAATAAGACCGTCCCTTTACTAGAGTAAGACTGTCCTCTGTACTTGGGATATAGTTGTACTGCAGAAATTTTTAATGAGCAGGATATAAAAAACACAGCATTTACATAGCAGTATCTTTGGAAAGTGCTTTTCTGTTAAGCTCCTTGAAACTACACAAGTAAAACCTGAAGTTTACAAATTTATGATCCATGCTATAACTGAGCTGTATAATAAATAATAAGCCTCAGACTCAAAATAGAACAGACTTCATCATCCACTATAAAACTGTATCGCTGAATGCTATCAAAAAAAGGAAGCCATACTTGTTAGTTTTCCCAGTCCGTGCAAGGCACAGCCTCCTCTTCATCCTCTGACTCAGGGGATGCTTCTTTGATTCTTCTGAGAGCTTCATGGATGCTCCGTGTTAGAGGGTCTGTGTCGGGCAGGAGCGTGAAGGATTCTCTTAAAACTTCCTTCTGTACCTTCTTCAATTTCACCCCTTTCCTTATTTGTGCCAAGATATTATTACTGTCATCTTCATCAGGAAAAGGAGGCAGAGTTCGCTGTTCAACCTTTTTCAGATGAAAACTACCACGCTTCAAGGAAGCTAGCACCTCATCCATGGGGGAGCTCACTTTAGAAAAACGAGAGAGAACAATTACAGTTAGGATGGCACTTCGAGTCAAAGTGTAGACCTGTAGACTTTAGGACAGTAATAGCCCAGGACACTGAAAACACCATCTACAAAATGGACCATGAAGTGTAAACAGAAGGTTGACAGAGGACAGGAGAGCTTCACTATGCTTGTTTAAAAAAAAAAAATCCCAAGACTCAAATTCCATGTCAGCTATTATTAGCATTTCTCTCATTTGCATGTGAGAGAGGTGAGCACTCGGCGGGCTAGGAGGGAGTCTTCAGTAAAACCATGCGTGAGACTCCCAGAGGATTCCCAAAACGCGCCAGCCAACCTAAATTCAGATAGACATTGGGTTACACTCTTAATTTTAAAAAGTTAGATTGTGGTTCATTGTAGTGATTGTGCCATATTTTTCATCTTCTTGTTTCACATATGAAACTCTACTCAGGTTATAGTAGGAAATACTTTACAGGATGGTGTCTTGGATTAAAAGGTAACATGCAAATTGTTTTACAGAATGTTTTCCCTATGGAAGCTAAAGTTCCTTAAGGGACAGGATTATTCTATCCTTTTCAAAAATAGCTGTATGAAGGCATATCTGACATTAATAAACTATACATATTACTCCTTCTTTTTTGCTTCTTTATACAAAGGGAATATCAAGGTCCTCGAAAATGTGACCAGATTTTCCACGGTCCTACTGATGTCATCCTAGTGTGACAGGCCTGACCAGATGGCTTACCTTTCTGATGTGAATACCTTTCTTGTATTTCCCAAGTTTAAAATCAGGTTTTCTTTCCATTACAAAAGGAGCCACCTACTATGTATTACCAAACAGATCCAGTATCACTTAAATGTTTTTAAAAACATGTCTAAGAGCTCAAGATGATACACATTTCTTGACGTGGGTTGGTAAGAATTCTGCCCCGCTGCAACCTTGAAAACATGTTTGCTATCATATAATGTCCAAAAATAAAATAATGTTTTAAGCTTTGTAAGGTCCTATGAAATAAAAAGTCCTCTGATTATGCCTCAGTTTATTCAACAGACGAACAGGAAAATATCTCTGTAACTTACCTCTCCTCCTCTGCAAACCTTCCGCAGTCTTTTTGAGCTTCTTCCTGGCACTGACCAGCTGGCTGCTGTCAAAGAGGTGTGCTGAGGGGGCACTTGCAGACTTCGGGATCCTCTTCTCATTTCCCTCCATTCTAGGCAGACCTTTCTCCAGTGTCTCTAGGGTGTTGTCCTTAGCAACTGGCAGAGGTGGTGGCGGTGGGGGAGGGGGAGGAGGTGGCGGTGGGGGAGGCGGTGTTGGAGGGAGAGGTGGTGGGAGTGGATCTATGGTAGCAGAACCTGGTTCAAGATCAATGTTATTCAAAAGTGGAAGAGATCCAGTAGGAGGCAGTTCAGAGGTAAGACCACTGAGAGGTAATGAAGTGGCTTCAAGTTGTGCTAACGAAGTATCTTCAAGCTGTGGGAGGCTTTGGGGCTCTGTTGTCTGCGATGGCCCAAGCTTGGCGCCTCGTTCCTCCGCCTCTTCCCTCTTCTCTTCTACCGGCAGCGCTCCTGGCAGAGAGTCGCACTGGTCCTCGCAGGGCCCAGGACTGGCTGTGCTGCTGCTTCTCGCATGAGCCAGGCGCAATCTGGTTGATTTAAGTATAACTTGGCCAGGGTACCTCTAAAAAATCAGAAGTTACTATAACTGGTTAAATTATATTAAAACAGCTTATGAACAAATGGTTATTTATTTTCTCCCTCAAATGCAAGATGTTGTTTTGGAGCTTTTGTGATTTTCAGGGAAAATTCTTTAATAAAGTTATATAGAGAAAACCAGAATACCAAAGCATAATACCTTTCCAATTTATCACCAAACTCTATTATTTGCTTATAATTATACCCTGTATCCACTCTGTCCCCTCTTATCCACTTAAGAAATCACTGTTTAAAATTACATGATTTAAAAAAGATCTTTAATGAATAAAATTACTAATTTAGATGGGAAGATAATAATAGCAATGTAAAATACAAAAACTAAATGATGTCAAACAATGTTCTTTTTAAAAAGGCTGCTTGACATTTAAAAAAGTTCTGAAAACAATATATGCATTTTATGTTAGAAGAAAAGGGAATTCAACGTTCTGGAGTACTGATACACAGAACTCTTGTTCTGTATCTTTTACTACAGTAAAACCTAGCATCAACACGCTCAGTAGACAACATTTACTTGAGACAAGGCTGATCCTCGTGTTAAGGCCCCCCCCACTATAATACTAAGAGGACTTGATCAAAGGCTTCCTTCCTCTATTAGGTGACCGCTCAGCACAGACAGTGGAAGTAAGGCTCCTTGTGCAATTGAACAACTAGAACCATTCAACTTAAGCACAGACTCAAGGAAATGTTTAGCTGCTGTGTTATCAGTGTCCAGTGTCATGGGTTAGCCTGGCAAGAGGACAGCTGAAGCATTTCTCATGTACATTGATCCACCTTCTAATTTTGCCACTGGTCATCTCCCTAGATTATTACCATGCTGATGTATGTGGAATTAATAACAAGTTGATGCTTGAAAGGGATAGTCAGTTATGAACTAATTTTATAAAACTCAAGAGGAATCCAGGCTTCCCAGAGGCCCTGACCATTCCTCTTATACCACTGAAGTGGTAGGCCAAGGGTCACAAGAATATTAATTCTGGAAACAACCAGAGGAAAAGGAGCCATGCAATCAAAACATTAATAAAAAAATTTAAAAGGATTGCCATGATTATAATTATTTTCTAAATAACAAACGGAAAGGCAAGTTTTTCTCAAAGAAATCTTACAAGAGCAGTGTGGATGTAGCTCTGTTTAAAAAGCAGTGAAAATCAATAAATTGACCACACTTTTATTACCTGTTTGAAAGTTCGAAGTCTATCCAGTGTTCTCTGTCTTTCTTGGCTAACCCAGGCACTTTTTCTTTCTTCTTCATCATGTAATCTTTCTCTCTTCTGGTAAAAAAAATAGTAATTCCATTATGATGTGTCCCATTTATTTTTAACATTAATAGGAAAAATAAAACAAGAGTCCTTCCAATATGTAAACTGGATGACTCCGAAGAAGGATTGATGCATTAAATAAAATAGTTTACAGCACAAAATACTAGCAGTTTTTAAAAGAAATCATTTTAAAATTCACAATGATACGTGGACAAAAATAATGCTATTTCACTTTTCTTCATTTACTTCCAATTAAAGATGCTTATAAAGTAAAATAAAATCTCCCCTGAACTAAAAAAATGTTTCATTTTTGGGGTTCTGGCTTAAACAATTTTAGTAGGAAATACCTGTAGGTGCTGTATTCTGCTAACTCAAATAGTTGACCTTAAAAATAAAATCAGCAACCGCTTGGTCAGTAATTTAGATATTATACATTATTTCAACCAATATAACCAGGAATTCAAGAAAAAGAAAGTACTTCCAGCATTATACATGAAATCATTTGGTTTAACATCACACCTTATAGTTGGCAGTTATCTGCACAGAAATTTAAAATTTTTCCCGGGGCCGGCCTCGTGGCTGTGTGGTTAAGTTTGCGTGCTCCGCTTCAGCGGCCCAGGGTTTCGCTGGTTCAGATTCTGGGCACAGACATGGCACCACTCATCAAGCCACGCTGAGGCGGCGTCCCACATAGCACAACCAGAGGCACTCACAACTAGAATATACAACTATGTACTGGGGAGCTTTGGGAAGAAGAAAAAGAAAAAAAAAAAAAAGATTGGCAACAGTTGGTAGCTCAGGTGCCAATCTTTAAAAATAAAAAAAAAAAATTCCCATGTTGTTGAATCATCTAAAAGCTGTCTAATTAAACCTCATTTGGCAGAACAAACAATAAATAAATGAAAAGACTTGCTAAATAGGTAATTGGGGTATGGCTTCATTTTCCTGCTTTGTTTTAAAAAACTGGAGATACCTCCCACAAGACCAGATAATTTCACATGGAGATGACAGGTCTCCAGTGTGTTATTAACCTGCTCTCTTCTATTGTCTGCTGTCCTTTTCAAATTCAATGCTCCACTGTTCTCTTAGATTCTATTACCTCTCTCTGTCACCAGCTGTTCCCTGGGCAACATAATTTCCAATGTGAGTTACTGCTATATTTGCCTTGGATGATTACATCAAAATCTAAAGGACAACCTGGATCCTCAGACTGCAAGTGCACATCAAGTTTCAGGAAACCCTGATGCACAATGATCAGCTGGTAAAGTTACTAGACTTTACAATAAAGAAAGACTCTTTATGGGTATTCAGACAGAAACATCAAGTCTCCCAGGGAGGCGAGAGGAGGCAGGGGTGACTCCAAGCCTCTCCACTGCAACATCAAATGCTACACGACATTGCAGCAATGTCTCCAGAATTCTGATGGAGAGGAAATATGACAACATGACCCAGCCAACTATCCTTTACAAATAAAGGAAACAGACAAGCATTCCCAAAACATGTCAGAACTCAGAAAATATGGCAACCATGAAACTTTCCTGAAATAGTACCTTAATGAAATCTAATAACTCCAAGATGAATCAAAATAAACTCAGGAACAGACAAGTTGTGATAAGAGGACTGGCACTAAACAATGAATCCACTTTAATATACAACTAAACTTAACTCTAGGAATTAGGACCATATGAAATAACTGAATTCTGACTATGTGAAATAAAGAATATGAAACTTATATAATTATTTTGACATTGTGAAGGTTCATAACATTGGGAGTTGGAGGGAAATGGAGTTGGGAGAAAGCATAAGGGCAATAATTTCTTCATTTTCATAGCACGAGTCTAAAGTTGAAATAATTTTTAAAACTATGATCACAACACTCAATGTTTTTCTGAATCTTGTTGTGCTCAAGAAATTTATCTAAATTTCAGTAGTTCTTTCAAATTCACTCAAGTTATCCTGTTAAAAGTAAAATTTATTTTGGCATTGATTTTTTCTTTGTAACTTTTTCCTGTGTTGTTTTAATCTTTTATAATCATCATGTCTGTCTTTTTGTAAACACAATAAGGGCAGTAAGGGTTTCTTTTTAATGTCTAAGAATGGTTGAGAAACATTTTTGTAAGACACTAACTAAAACTGCTCACAATAGAAGGATTTTTAAAGTAGCAATGAAGAAAAGAAGTGTTTAGGATTTTTTTTAAAATCTGGTAAGTCATCAAAATTTATACACAGACATCAAGATACTCAATTATTCAGGAAAGAATCACCTTGCTTAGATAACAGGACAAAATTAGAAAGTACTATGTAAAAAGCAAGAAAACTTTTTAAGATCACAGAGTAAAAAAAGTCATATAACATGTTAAGATACCATCTAAGACACTGACATGGCAGGAAAAAGGCTGCTTAAAAAATTCCATTCTTTCAACACACATTTATTAAATATGTGCAAACCAGGCACCACATTGAGCCCTAGGAAAAGGCAGGGATGCAGTCGAAGTGGCGGTGAGGAGGAGCAGGCCTGGTAGACAGACATGAGGCGTGGTGCTGGCAAGCACCAAGGAAGAAACGGACCCTGGTGGAGGTGGTAAGAATGAGAATTCACGTTCTCTAACCTAGCCAACCCTGGGTGGATGGTGGAACTGTTAATCCAGATTAGGAATACAAAACGAAAGAGGTCTGGGGTTGGGGAATGGGGAGGAAAAACAATCTAAAGTAGTAAGGCACATCTTAACTTAGATTTGCAGCAAGAAGGAAGTTTCATTAACAGCAGACACTATCTGCTGAACATCAAGCTTAACCCATATGTAATAGGTTTCTTGAGAAATTATGCAACCAGACCCTACAGGAAATTATGCTGAGAAGAGTGTGGAGGACTAACGTGGAATTCTTGTCAGGAGGACAAAGAGTAGAAGTAGTGGTTTTGATAACCGCACTGTTGGAGGACCGCACGGATCTGCAGCTACTGATTAGGGAATGCACTGAAGAGGGCCTCACATCCAACCTGCTGACCACCACACACAACAGAGATCAGTTACACTTCTTCTCTCTTCGTGAGGGGGGCTGGATCCTTTGCATGTAAATTAGCCCCTTAGATTTATGGGAGGCAGGGAGGTAAGGAGTTACTGGCTAAGTTAAGATGAACATTCTTCCATCTCTTCCTCCTGCAGAAGGTCAGAAAGACCTTTTGCCTGTGCCTAGAGAGCTCTCACTGGGAAAGTCTTAAGAGTTCTCAAAGACCATTTATTAGTAGACTCAAAGTCAGGCATCTCTCAGCAATAGTGCCAGATGCCAGAAGACTTGCTATATACTCCTACAGGTTTCCAGATGGGAAAATAAAGAGAAGATATGACCGGAGCTCTATAGTAAAAGTAGGCAGAAAGATCCCACGTGGACTCTCTCCTTTAGAAAGGAAAGCCCAGAACAGCTCAAGGACACAGTGAGGCAAGAACTTACCCCACCTCCTCGCCCCTACTCCGTGCGTACTTCTATTTCATATAGCTAGAATGTGCAACTCTTCCAGCTGAGTCAGCAAAAGGAAGAAACAGAAAAAGATCTCATGTACATCTGGTGGCCACTTGGAATTGGGAGTGAGCTTGCACCTTCTCACGCCCAGATACATGCCACAGCCACCTGCAGACAGAGTCTTTCTAAGGCCTGTAGAGGAGCACTGACTCCAGAGGTGAAGACACTTTTCTATACTTAGAGAAAGTACACTATCCAACAGATACAGTTCCTAGTACTTGGGGGAGAAACATTAGTTATCTAAGAGGTACTTAGTTTGAGTTTTCAAACTGCGAATGTGCATCTCTAAACATAATCTATAAATAGTCAGATATGGACTTCAGAGATAAATTAACTGATTAATCATCTTGCTGGGCTGTTGGCTGGTATATACAAAGTCAAATCTTACTATAATTTAAAAGATCCTAGAGGAAGAGAGAAGGAGAAAGGTTCAGATTCCTGAGGCATGAACTGATGAGCTATATGGGGAAATAAAGCCCTTCTAGAGCATAGCATCAGAGTTATGTTTAAAAGCATAGCAAGTAACAGATAGGCCTGGGTTGAATACAAGGTGCCCCTTTACTAACTGGATGACTTTGGGAAAGTTATTTAATGAGTCTGTAAAATGAACACAATTTACCTTTTATTTTGGCCGGAGGAGTACTTACTGGATGGTAACAGAAGGGACTTTGGGTTTCTGTTAACATTCTGCTTATCAATCTGGGTGCTGGTACATAGGTACGTTCAACTTGTGAAAATTCTTCAAGTTATACACTTGCGAGCTGGACACTTTTCTATATGTATATTATGCTTCAATAAAAGCGATAAAAGGTTTTCATAACAAAGTATTGTTTTAAGAAAATGAGACTAGACAATGATTTGGCAGGGCACATATTAGAGCATGGAGGAAGTAGGCAGAATTAAAAGGAGCCACTGTGAACAAAATAATCTAAAAAGCTCGGACGAGTTTCCATAAACTACAGTTTAAAAGTATTCCATGTGTTCTTTCCTGAAGTGAAATCCATAAGTTATGAATGTGGTTACATAAAACAAGAATGTATGTTTTAATGGGGAAAACTGACTTGTTTCCTGACCGCTATTTCCTTCTCTTACCTAATTTGTCTCTGAGCCAACAAAAAAAAAGAAGTAATAAGTAATTTTCATTTCTTTAACTATTCTGTTTTAGAGAGTTTACTAGCAAATATTAAAATTAATTCCTCTTATTTACATATTTAATTTGCAAGGATTTCCAGAAGAATTTTTCAAACAATAAGGTTAAAATCTAGGGATCAACATTTTAAATAATCCACCACCCAAGATTTTGATAAAGGTGGTTTAAAACTGGTTTTGAAAAACAATGATTTCTTTTGATGTAAGCCAACTTTCACGTTCCTCTAGCTATGCATGTTAAAGATGACTAGATGGTTAAGAGAGTCATTCTCCTACAATGAGGTATTTCACCCAAAGCTGGCATTGGGCAAAATTGTAAGGTAGATGATATTTATCTTTGAGATTCCCTCTATTTCATTTTCAATTTCCTCATTTTTACTACTCTTTGTCCTGTAAAGTTCATTGAGAAAGGACTTGATAATCATTCTAAAAGTTAATTAGTTACTCCATCCACCAAAGTACTGGGTTTCATGAAGCTCAAATCTTCATGTAATAAGAAACAAATTCCAAGTGTAGAATCTCAGTAACAAGCTGACAGCACAGGTGCTGATGGTGACGGTAGAGGGCATTCTGACTCACCTAACCATTACGCTGGTCCATTGCTGAACCTTCCTTACAAAGCAGTTTCTGACCCATGAAAATAGGAATGAAAAATAAAACTGTGATAATTAATTTTGCTATTTCTAGCTTCTGGACAAAGAAAGATGAATCTTAGAGTTTATGGGTAGTTTGGCTACTTTTCTGTATTTAAAATCAAGAGTAAGAGGCAGCTTTAGCTAACACGCCAAAATGAGCTTAAGGGATAAGAGAGACAAATTTAAGCCCTTTGGCCTTTAGTGTGACACTAAAGAAAGAAAAATTTTAAATAAGCATAGTGTTATGGTCACGCCAGCATTTCTCCTATTTAATGAAATATAAATTATTGATGTTGACTAATCTAAGACATATGTGCCTGAAAAGACTACTGTCAGAATAATATACTGCAGGAACGATGGGGTGCAGCAATACCAGGAGTGGAAGGTTTGTAATGTGATTTTTAAAAAAGTGAACTAATGATCTCAGCAAACTATAAATAGAGGGGTACTTCCTCAACTTGATAAAGAACATCTACAAAAAACCCTATAGCTAACATCATACTTACACAGTGAGAAACTGGAAGCTTTCCTGTTAAGATCAGGAAAAGACAAAGATGTCCCCTCTCACCACTCCTTTTAAACATCCTACTGGAAGTCCTATCTAATGCAGCAAGAAAAGCAAATAAAAGATATACAGATTGGGACAGAAGAAATAAAATTGTCTTTATTTACAGATGACATGATTGTCTATGGAGAAAATCTGACCAAAGAAGTAGATAAAAGAACCGACAAAAAAACCCTCCTGGAACTGATAAGTGATTAGAGAAAGGCTGCACGATACAAGGTTGACGTGTAAGTCAAGTGCTTTCTAACAGGCTAGCAATGAACAACTGGAGTTTGAAATGAAAAACTATTTACATTACCACCAAAAAGAAAAGAAAAAAGACAGACAGATTTAGGTATAAATCTAATAAAATATGTACAAGATCTATATAAGGCAAACTACAAAACTTATGAAAGAAAATCAAAGAAGAACTAAACAAATGGAGAGAGATTCCTTGTTCACGGATAGGCAGCCTCAATATTGTTAAGGTGTCAATTATTCCCAAGCTGATCTCTAGATTCAACGCAATCTAAATCAAAATCCCAGCCTCTTATTTTGCGGTTCTCATCAGGCTGATTCTAAAGTTTCTTTGGAGAGGCAAAAGACCTAGATCCATGGAACAGAACAGAGAGCCCCAGAACAGACCCACACAAATACAATCAACTGGTCTTTAACAATGGAGCAAAGGCAAGTCGATGGAGAAAGGATAGTGCTGGAACAATGAGACATCCACATGCAGGAAAAAAAAGGGAAGAAGTTTAGCCACAAACTTTACACCCTTCACAAATACTAACTTAAAATGGACCATAGGCTTAAACGTAAAATGCAAAACTATAAAGCTCCTAGAATATAACATAGGAGAAAATCCAGATGACTCCAGGCTTGGTGATAACGTTTTAGATACAATACCAAGGTATAACCTATGAAAGAAAGAACTGATAAGGTGGACTTCATTAAAATTAAAAACTTCTGCTCTGTGAGAGAGACTGTCAAGAGAATGAAAAGACAAGCCACAGACGAGGAGGAAATATTTGCTGCAGACACAGTATCTGATAGAGGAGTGTTATCCAGAATAAAAGAATTCGTCAAACTCCACAGTAAGAAAACAAACAACTCAATTAAAAAATGAGCAAAAGATCTGAATAGACACCTCACTAAACAAGATATACAGATGGAAAATAAGCATTATGAAAAGATGCTCAACATCATATGCCATTAGGGAAGTGCTAACTAAAACAACCATGAGATACCAAAACACACCTATCAGAATCACCAAAACCCAAAATACTGACAACACCAAATGCTGGTGAGGATGTGGAGCAACAGGAAAGGTCATCATTGCTGGTGGGAATGCAAAAATGGTACAGCCGTTTGGCAGTTTCTTACAAAACTAAACATACTCTTTCCATACGATCAATTGCACTCCCTGGTATTTAACCAAAGGAGTTGAAAACTTATGTCCACAAAAAAACTTGCACAGATGTTTATAGCAGCTTTATTCATAATTGCCAAAACTTGGAAGGAAGTAATCAAGATATCCTTCAGTGAGTGAATGGGTAAATAAACTGTGCTACATCCAGACAATGGAGTATTATTCAGCACCAAAAAGAAATGAGCTATCAAGCCCTGAAAAGACATGGAGGAACCTTAAATGCATATTACTAAGTTAAATAAGCCAATCTGAAAAGGCTACATACTGTATAGTTCCAATTAAACATTGTGGAAAAGGCAAAACTGGAGACAGTAAAAAGATCAGTGGTTACCAGGAGTTTGGGGAGAGAGAAGGATGAAGAGGTGGAGCACAGGGGACTGTTAGGGCAGCGAAAATAATCTGTATGGTCCTATAACGGTGGATTCATGTCATAACACATTTGTCAAAACCAACAGACCATACAGTACCAAGAACGAACTCTCATGTAAACTATGGACCTTGGACGATGATGATGTGTCACCGTTGGTTCGCTGATTGTAACAAATGTTCCATTCTTACGTGGCATTTGGTTGGTAGGGGAAGCTGTGCATGTGTGGAGGTATATGGGAACTGTGTCTATTTTCGACTTAATTTTGCCCAAAACAGCTCTAAATAATAAAGTATATATAGTGAACCAAGGCTAACATTAGTTATAACACTTTTGTATTCTCTGTAGTTCTCATTCACTTTGAGACACGTAAAAACTGAAGTTTTGTTCTAATTCTCCGAGAGTCCAAACTTACTAGTTGTATTGTGTGATGGCTTCTATATTCATCTTCACTCCGAAGACGCTGTTGGAATTTTTCATTGTGTTTTGCAATACAAATTTCCTATAAATACATAAAATATGTTTTAATATAAGTGAAATCTGAAAGACAAAACACCACACCAGGGTTTACTTGATAAGTTAAATTTTAAACTTCATAATATACCCACATAGCAAAATACCAATGCTACCTCTGGCTTTTTGTCTGGAGTATTGAAGCAGCATAAGCCAAATAACCGGGGTCTTAAAAAGACTCTTCTATTGAACTATTAACTTCTCTAGAACTCCCATTTCTCTTTTTATGGAGGGAGACGGATGGGCCAACGTAGCGTGGAAGGAGGCGTCCTGAAATAATCTCAAAGGTCTCTTTCAGCTCTGAAGTCTGTGGCCAGAAGATTCTAAGTCATATTGTACACTTTAAACTAGTCTGGGAAAAACAGGATACACAATTTTTGGCTTAAAGTCTGTATTCTTAAGCTGTCTCTGATGCGTTAAAGAATATAATTTTGACTGGACTGGTTTAAACATTTTCATAAAATCTGAATCTTCTGGTCAGAGACCTCAGAGTTAAAAGAGACCTTAAAGATTAGAAAATCAGAATTATAAAGAAAATATAGGTGTGCTTATTCTACTCACATGAAAATAAAAACATATTACTAAAATAGGAGATACATGCTTCTTCACAAAATAATGCACTATCTCTGGCACGGTTTTAGTGGTACCACGCTGTCTTCATTTTCCCTGGGTCCTTTGGGAGAAGTCCTCCAGATAAAAGGGTTAACATTCATTGCCAACACTCTCAAAGCTACACCAGAAGATCACTCTTCTAACTAGAGAAAGTCACACAATGAATGACCTTTTAAGCCAGTAAACTATATTTTAAAGCAATTGTTTCTATCATATTCTTCACCCACACTGGGTTGACTCTATTGCCTAACAAGTATCCATCATGAAATGAACCTGTCCCAGGCCGTCTCCAGGGGAAAACAAGGGTAGTAATACACAGCAACGTGATATAGTGATATACTGACTCAGCACTGAGCCACAGAGACTTGGGACAGAGCCCTCCCTCTGCCCCACACTGGCCACACTTCCTTGGGTGACTGATTTAACCACCGGAAGCCCTGGTTCCCTTGGTTATGAGGACACAGGCCCACGATCCCTTAACAAGAACAGAGGTCAGATGTGTTTTGAAATTAAAATTTTGTTCAGATTTTAGAAAGATGACATGCTGCATATATCATATATTACCCAGTAACTCCAACAGGCTCTGAAGCAGCACCCCACAAATAGTAATACTAATATTTTTTCAGTGAAATAAATGAACAAAGTAAGTGGGACAAAGAAATAAGTAACTACTTCATATCAGTTCGGGTCTGGGTTTGCCACCAAATCAAGTATGAGAACGCTATCGGTTTTCGGAGCTTTCCAGATTTCAGGCAAAAAATTATCTCATTTGGCTATTGGGAGAATTAAAGAAGATAAAATACATAAAGAACAATGTTCTTTCTACTATTCTTCTTGAAAAGTTTAATCATGAAGCAGAGACTTCAGGTCCTCAGGGCACAGGCAGAGACCATCCTTGTCTTTGAAGAGGAGAGGCAGGGCTGACTCACTTACAATCAGAACCACCCTGGGGATGAAATCCTATTGTGGGTGCCAGATAAGCCAAGCAGCCAGTGAACCCGGGCACTGAACCCAGGCACGCTGACATGGAGACAACAAGGAAGACAAGACGATGCTACATCAAGAGGCATATTTTGATCTTTTGTATGGTATGGTTGTGTCACATTCTCTTTCTTTTTAGGACTTAGTGTTTCTAGTTTTCTCTTTCTAGCCTCCTCCTTCGGTCTACAATTCGGCCACCTCAGTTGGTGGGCTTGAGTGGCTGGGGGCAGGGAGGGGGGAGGGCAAAACCATTTAGAGCTCCTGACTCCGTGTGAGGTGATGGGTTGCAGCAGATCTGAGGCTGCTGGGGTCAATGGGCAGATTCCCTAGGGGTGAGCTTCCCTAGCTCTGACTTAGACTAAAATACGAATGAAGAGTGAAGACTGTGTGTTAAATTGATATGAGCCTCTATGTGTGTATATATAATTCCTTCAAGACTGAGGTCAGCGCTCGGACTTAACTGCAGAACACCACTGGCCTCCTTAAATAACAAGGAGCAGGAGCTGCATCACATGGGATTCTGTAGTCATGCCTTTTAGCAGTCACCTTCAGGGTGGCTGAGGTGAAAAGCACATCTGGCTATTGTAATGTGTTTAAGAGGGCAATTCTTGGAGAACTACACATGTTTAATATAATGGCCTGAGGACTGAGAAGGGGTACTTCTCACTTAGTTTTAAAAGATATGCAGGTATTAGTGACAAACCGGATTAAAATTATTAGATATGGTCAAGGATTAATTAATAAAAACAAGATTTAAAACTAAGGCTACATATTCAATAAATACTTAACCTATTATACCTTTTTATTTCTGAGGTAGGCTTTCTTGGCCGAAACCCGTCCACGTCTTGCTTCCAGCTGGCGCGCCTTCTGCTGGAGTTTCTGGAGCTCTTCCCTCTGTAAGTGCACAGACGTGGCCGTCTCCTCCTTCTCCAGCATGGCCTCCATGCTTTCGTACGTGTCATAGTACACCACTTCGTCTCTCTTCTCTGTCACAGAAGAGCAACAAGGGCATGGGCTGTGAAGCCAGACAGAATGAGGTTCTAACCCACTCATGGGCTCTGTAACCTTGGGCAAAGCCATTACCTCTTGAGTTTCTTTGTAAAATAGTGATTATTAGGAAATACGCCTTATAAGGTGAATGTGTGCACAGTACTTAGCAGTGTCTAGCACACAGTTAAGTGCTCAATAAATGCTAAATATCATCCTCCTCATCCTCCAAATTCAACATTTTTGAGAATACAGATTCTGGCTGAAATAACTTTTACCAAGTGAGTATGATAACACATACTGGCACTGCGGAGTCTACTAAACCACTTGTTCGACTTTAGGAACTTCTTTTTTTCTTTTAGAGATTTTTTTTTTCCTTTTTCTCTCCATAGCCCCCCGGTATATAGTTGTATATTCTTCGTTGTGAGTCCTTCTAGTTGCGGCATGTGGCATGCTGCCTCAGCGTGGTTGATGAGCAGTGCCATGTCCGCTCCCAGGATTCGAAGCAACGAAACACTGGGCCGCCTGCAGCGGAGCGTGCGAACTTAACCACTCGGCCATGGGGCCAGCCCCATTTAGGAACTTCTTAAAAAGGTTTTACATTAAGACTTTATTTAATCTCAACAGAAGAAACATAGCTGACCATGTCCTTGTCCATTTTTCCTACGTATTTAATCTGTTGTGGGTTTATGTGGTTAAACGTACCCGATATAAGTCTTTTGATGCTTTCCAGTTGTGCTGTCAACAGTAACTCTTCACACTTCAAGATTTCAAACTGTACTTCATACAACTGAAGTTGCAGATCATAATAATCAGCTTCTAACTGATCCAATCTGGCTATGGCTTCTGTACCACCCTGCAAACTCTGCATCTGCAACGAAAATAAAAATAAGAACATCAGTTGGTGGGGACAAGAAAAAAAATCAAGTTGTGATTAGAAAAGAACACTAATCAGACAGGATAATCCATGAAGCAACTGTTCTAAGATACTTGTAGGCAAGAAATGATGATTTTAAAAAAGATAAAAGCAGTAATAATCAAAACATATGGCTTTGGAAATAACTAGGCAAACATGGTAAAAATAAAGTTTTTAAAGTTTATTTACATTACAGTTTATTCATATTTAGGATGATAATCTATTATTCTAATTGTCCTGACATAAATATTAATAGCGTCCCTTTTCACTCTCAAAAGTGCATGCTAAGTTATGCATTTATCCTTTTCATATAAGATGTATGACTACGATTAGGCCATACTGGGTGGGTTACAACACAAGGGTAAAAGTTTGGTCAACTCCACACATCTGGGGCTGTGTTTTGCTCCATGGTCACAGCCTGGTAGCTTCTAGATCTGTGGACTAGAGAGCAAGGTGAGTGAGTGTGAGTGGAGCAGCAAGACAGAACTCCTCTTCATGGAAATTCTTGCAATCTACTGATAACGATCACTATTAGTACCTTTAAGTAAATGCAATAGCATCTTTAAGTAAATCCAGGGTCTGACACTGAACCTAAGGTGGGATTCAGAAATTTCTGGCCATGTCTCATGAAGTGGTGGGTGGTCCTGCATGAGGTTTGATGCAAATATTTTGAACTGCAAAGCAACAGTTAGGCTGCGGTCTAAATGTATAATGGCAGACATTAAAAAAAAAACCATTGAATTAAACGCAGTGCTATTTAATAAACGTTATAAAAATTTTATAAGTAAATGTTTACTAAGTTATCTAAGTTGTAACCAATGATCCTGATGCATTAGGAAATATTTCATGGGTAACAAACAATAAATACAGAACAAACCCCAAGGTGTTTAATTACAGTGGCTCATGGAGGGGAATGCTGACAAAATGAAATTCTGCTGTTTTTGTCCTAGGTCACAAAATAGGAACCGTGGAGGGATTTCTTTCCTGAGACTCCCAGCCTCACTTTAAATTACAAACATCCCTTCACACACTGTCTTGGGGCTCTTGTCCAACTCTGGAGACCACAGCCTCAGGATGCATCTACCTCTGCCATCTGCACCCACACTCTCTGTGAGCACAGCACACTAACAGTTAAAATATATAATGTTAGAAGGCTTTAAGAAGGCTCTAAGTGGGGAATTATAATCAGTTAAGTTAAAACCTCAGTGTGCAAGAGTCTAAAAACCTTCCTCTAAGATCATTCCAGGGACACCCTTCAGGCCCAGGCTGTCAGTTCTGTCTTCACCGCCTCCAGTTCTCTTCAGCAGAAAGTGACCATTACCTGCCACGTTCAGGACACTGAGCTAAGGCTTCCGCTAGCACTCTCCATGTCTGTCTCTCCTATCCACTCCTTTGGCTAAGGAAGGAAGTGGACAGGCCCCTGATGACACACCTTCACACTGTCAGCCACTCCAACTGCAAGCAGAGCAGTACTCTGATCCCTGCCCTGGGCCCATGTACTTTAAAAACACTTGAGACGCAGAGTGATCCAGAATACAGCAAATAGCAAATATCAAACTGAGAAAGCAAGGGGGTATTTTTCTTACAAGAAGTGACCTCACCCCCAATCTTCTGGGTCAGTGAGTTCTATTCAGAGCCAGGGAGTCCAGAGGTTGATTTGCCGTGGCTGGGCTCAAAAGGACAAAACCCCATCAGAGACAGAGGTGCAGATGAGGGATCTGTGAAATCCCAACCTCTGAGACAACAAGCAACAGGGCAGTGGGAGGCCTCAGGCAAAGGAAAAGGATGGCAGGACCAGAGCAGAGAGGACTTTTATCGGATAAGCTAAAGAGAAAGGAATGAGACAAGTCAGAGAAATCAGGGACGCGAAAATGGTGCTCTGAGGTTTATCTAAACTTCAATAGGGCAGCAAAATCCTCAGTGAAAGGCATGGAGAGGTATGAGGCTATGCTGCTCCAAATCCCTGCCCTATAACATCTGAAGTTTCCAGACTGGTTTGTTCCCGGTACCTGACTCAGCTGACAGCCACAGAACTAAGGGAACAGAAATCCAGAGTGGAAGGAGCACTGATTCTAGACAAAGGAGCAGTGCAGAGAAGGTGGGTGCCACAGCTGGGTGTCTTTGTTATACGTGGGGGCAGTGCTTCCCTGGGCAGGAAGGAAGTCTAAAATGTAGGTTAAGTGCTCAAAAAAGTAGACAATGGGGGCCAGCCCAGTGATGCAGTGGTTAAGTTCACACACTCCACTTCAGTGGCCTGGGTTTGTGGGTTCAAGTCCCAGGCACAGACCTATACACTGCTCATCAAGCCAGGTGGTGGCGGCATCCCATATACAAAATAGAGGAAGTTTGGCACAGATGTTAGCTCAGGGACAATTTATTGGCAACAGATGTTAGCTCAGGGACAATTTTCCTCAGCAAAAAAAAAAAGTAGACAATCAAGTGCCAACAAAAACTTTGCTACCTTGAAATTTTGTTCAGCTTCACTTTCATCCTTCTAAACAAACTGCTACTATCAGGATATCAAGACCCCAAAGCAAACTGTGACTTCTCAATGTAACCCAGGTAATACACCAGCAATGCTGGAGCCACACCCAATTCTCCCAATTCCTAGGAGAATGGCCTTTTCACTAGACAAAAGTAGGGAGCATCATTCTAATAAATATGCAAAAGAAACGAAGAAAAATGTTTTTACAATAACTGTAGCAAGGAAATGAAGTACCAGCGGATGTCCATATACCCGCATAAGTACACCATATACTACTGACCCCACAGATGAGCACTCCACCATGCACAATAATGACACAGGTTTCACGTGTACCTATTTTGACAACCATATCATGAAACCAGATATAAAGCAATTTATACACACTAATGACACCTCTGTCCTGCCTTTTACCCCACTGTGCTAGAAACAGAAAACCTCATGACAGGTGAGGGGCTGTGACAACAGAGCTTTCAGAGAATCTGTGGGTTCAGTCATTCATTCAACAAATACTCACTGAGCACCCACCTCTGTCTGAGATCAAGTACGCAGTAAACAAGAAGTGAGTGAGGGTTCAAAAAGTAGGCATAAAAACCATACACAGCCTGAGAGAAACAACAGTAAAGGCAAACTCTCAATCAATACTACCCCTTTTATGTGAAAAAGATGGAAAAAACATAAGACTTAGAACCAGACAAACCTGAATATAAATACAGGTCCCACCAATAACAGCTGCATAAATATGGATAATACATACAAGCTGACGGAATTATCTGGAATTTCACATTTCAGAAATCTTGGAAAACTAAAAATATCCACAATTTCTTTGATATCAAAACCTAATCACATAATCCATTTGTAGGAAAACATAATCTGAATTGATATGAGTATCTATTCCATTTAATGTAAATATCCATCTGTTTCATTATTGGAATAGTAACACACGTCTGGAAGTTATATGCTATAAATTACCTTTCTAAAATCTGAAAAGTTTAGAATTCTGAAACATACCTGGCCTCCGGGGTTCAGATAATGGCTTAAGGGCTTACAGCATAAAGGGTTATAGTTGAGAATTAATTGAGATAGTATACCTAAAGCACTATGGACAGGACCTGAAATATTTAAAGCATTTCTATTATCTTTTTTTTGTAACCATGACCAAAATGTAATTTAGATAGCTAAAATAGAATTTCATAATTAAGTAATATAAATTAAAACTTTTAGAGTGGAACCTAGCTTTTTGAACTTAGAGACTTTAACATTTCTAGTGTGCAGATATAGAATAGACTTACAGATAAATAAATTAAAAACAAAAAACTAGCCTTCCTGCCTGAAGAAGCACCCCAGCTTCTCCACCTCTGTTCAGATTGTGTCCACATGCAAGCTCCTTGCTGTTGAAACTTTTTGACAAGGCCTATATGAAATGCCAGTAAATGTCTTAAGCATGGGAATTATATTTTTCTCATCTTTGTATTCCCTTCCATGATACTGGCATAATAACCTAACATAGATCAGAGTAATATCTAATATTTATTGGTTTCTTACTCTATGCCAGGCACTGTGCTAAATGCTTTATATACATTAACTCATGGAATCATAACCCTCCTAGAAGTTATATCATATTTTACAGAGAGGTTAAGTAATTCACCCACGGTTACATAAGCAGTTAGTTTGCAGAATCGGGATCTACAGAGTTGTTCTATCTGAAATAGTAGCCACAAGACACATGTGGCTATTTAAATTGAAATAAAATAAAAAAATTCTGTTCCTCTGTCACATCAGCCACATTTCAAGAGTTTGATACACATGTGTCTAGCAGGTACCCTATTGGAAAGGGCAGAAATAGAACATTTCCATCATTGCAGGAAGTTCTATCTAGATCCTAAACTTCTATCCGCTATGGTATACTGCACATGCTCAATAAATACTTGATGACTTAAATAAAACTGACATAGGGGAATATAACCTTAATTAATCATAATCTAGCTTATGCTTTTAGGAGAAAGACAAAATTATGAAATATAAGGAACTAGCTTCAGGAGTGGTATATATTCAGCTCAATATTCTAGCAGTTTTTACGTTCACAGAGATGACCTCAAGGAATCACAAAGTTTTAAAAAGGAACGGATGGAGAACGGTTAAAATCCTCTGCCAAGACAAGAAAGCACATTGATGTATTGTTAGAACCTTCAACCACAAGGAGTGGAATCCAGAGTTTTCAGGTTAACTCCTGTTAGCCAGAGAACGTAGTTACAGAAGCTAACAGTCTACAAGTTTATTGAGAGATGTGTACTTTCTATGATCTGTTTCATGACGGCATCTTAATTTTAGTATCTCCTATTTCAGTTAATAACTACAAAGAGAATCCCCTTATTTCATTGATAAATTTTATTTTAATAACACCTCTAACACATCCTACTCCTAACCCTGCGTGATTATGTGTTTTTTAATCTTGTCCAACGGCTTAAAATAT